ATATAATTTATTCATCATGCTGATAAGATTGTGTAGTCTTCATTTGCTAATGTGTAAAAAGCATTAATACTGTATAATTCATAAATGGTTCTAAGGTTGTTTTATTTGTGTTGCCAGAATATGATGTGCAGTTTACCAAAACACACACACACACACACACAACACAAAAACATTTTATGTTGCCTATTCCTATTGTAGAAGTTTGAGTGGAATTTTATTTACTGAATGAGATTGATCGGTATTGGAAACACAAGTTATTTTCTTTACAGAACAGTTATCACCCTTACTTTTTCCGCAAAGATAAGTTAAGACGTCCTGTTTTGTATCACTAGAAATAAATTATAGCTGTTAAATATATTTCCATGTGTGTCACTCATCACAGTTCCTGGTAGTTACTGAAGTAAATGGCGGATTCAGGTGTTTAAAAAGTAAAAAAGTGCTTTACACTGGGTCTTAAAAAAATCCTGTTTTTTTTTTTTACTCGCACAATCACAATCCTGTCTAGTGCGACAGACATGCACTCCTTCCCAAACCAAGAAATTTTAGACTTGCATAACAGTATTGCATTGTATAAAAGGCTGAAATGTTGTCAATAACCCAAACATCTCTCCCTAAGAAATCACGTGAATACTGAATGACATTTAAAATTGAAATTAAAGTTGTGGCAGACAATGCAAACACTGTGTAGAGCAAGATCCTCAAAACAGATGCATCCTGTAAACCAAACTTCATTTATGAGATTTTTCGCGTAAACGACTTGGAGTGTTTGGATTTCTGTAGTGGGACTGAGTGCTGCTGTAGTGGGAGTGAGCATATCACCAGCTCCTCAGCAGATGAATGGAGTGTCTACAGGGGGCTGTTTCTCTAATGCCGCTTTTCCATTACCAGTGCCAGCTCGACTCAACTCGCCTCGATTCTGCCCGCTTTTCGCTCCGTTTTCCATCGCATACAGTACCGCCACAAATAGTACCCGGTCGTCATAGCGACGCCTTTAGTTCCCCGTTGCCCCATCAAGCTCTCGCTGGATCCTCTCTTCAGCAACCAAAAAAAGGAAAGTCTGCACCTCCTCGTTTGACCACGCATATTCTTCTGAGTTGCCCTAATAATATTAGTAAGTTTAGTAACTATCTCTGGCCAAACTATTTAAAAATGGCATTATTCTGGATACTCCATCTGGCGCGTGCAATGGTGACAATGGTGACGATTCTCTCTGACCAATCAGCAGTCGGAATTGTTTTAATGTCACATTTTTTGATCGCCTCAGCTCACCTTAACTCGCTCACAACCTCGTCGGAGGTGATATAAAAAAAGTACCCGAAAGCAGGTACAGGTACAACTTTTGCACAGTAGAAAACCAAACAAAGGCGAAGCGGTCGAGCTGGTACTGTGTAGTGTAAAAATTGCCATAGTATCCAGTTTGCATACTCTCTGTCCTACTTAGTACGCAGGATTGGAATTAGTGTGTTCTAGGGATGTATGATGGATCTGGACCATATCACTTATCTGCCGTATTTTCTTTAATTGTGAATGTTTGTTTTGGACATTTTTTTACATCTTAAATTACATTTGTTATCATCTAACGTAAACATAATGTTAATGGATTTTGCACAATCACAACAAAGATCCACAATTGCTAGTAATTGTTTTAGAATGTATTTTTACAAATATTATTTTCTTTAGCAGAACTCAAAATTAATAATCCATAATTTTAACTGTACATCATTAACAAGTTAGCTTCACATCATTGATTTGACTATTGCTTTTCTGTAAAGCTGCTTTGAAACAATACGCAGTGTGAAAAGCACTTTATAAATCAACTAAAATTTGACAGAATCTTTCTGAAAAATTGTGCTGCAGAGACGATGCGCTAAGAGAAACCTTGTAGATCTCAATATGGCATACTTTCTTATTGCATATTCAAAAGTATGTGCTTTTCCATCAGTAGACATCAACAGATTTAAAATGGATAGTATTTTTTATTTTATTTTATTTTTTAAAGCAAATAACAATTTTATAGTGAAATTAAATTTTACCCTTACCAATCCAAATTGAGAGATTTTGTTCTGGATTGAGTGATACTCTTACAAACAGTGCTGTGAGATTCTCTTCCAATTGGCCTGTTTCCACATTACGTCTGTTAAACTCTTCCGAGAACATTCTTCCCTGTCATCGTGCTGTTTACCTTAGATTCAGTGATAGTAGGAGTCTCTTTGTTTTGCTGGTATGGCAGTTGTTTAATGGGAGTGAACTGTAAGGCTAAATCAGGTCTCGCAGCTGCGGCTTGCGTTTCATACTTGAGGATTATCATGGCGACCAGTGACCCACTGAACCCGCCGATGCTGTGCAGTTGTGGAGCGACTCACAGGAAAGCCGATGTGTTCCCAAAGCAGCCGCTTCACCTCCGCTGGATATTTACCTTACTGACTCAATCGACTGCCACTTGACCTTCACAGGTCAAGACTAATACAGCTTTCCCTGTCCCAGATGTGGAAGGTTTGTTTTGGATTGCCTCTCAAACGGCCGTAGTCGTTTAGGGTATGTGTGCATGTCTGTTACTAAAATAGAAGGGAGCAATTCACCTAGAGTGATAGAAAACAGGTAGCCCTATTAACGTGTCCTCCAAAAGGGGCCTTCTCCCCCCATAAAACAGACGTTCTTTTAGGGATTTAAAGTCAATTGCATTTAAGTATCTTAAACTACCAGATGATTGTGGGCCTGCAATTAAGTTAAGCCAATGAAGGGCTAAGCAGACCCCCTGATCTGACATATTTGCCTGGCTTCAAAGCGGCCAGAGCCTGTGAAGGGTGACTGGGGAATGGAGTTAAGGTATTTCAGAAGAGACTCTAGGGGTAGCGTCCAGCTGGAGACGCTAATTAACAAGACGCCCACGTCACACTTATGACCACTACGTTGATTGAGAGTGGCTAAGCTTTACCTCCTGTCCAAATAACCTGTTTTTCACTTAACAATTGTGAGCGTGTGTTGAACTAGCTGTACGTAGGCGGATTTATGAACGTTTCGGTGTATGCTTTTAGATAGTTCCGTTCATGAATATCAACTGCACATAGCCAATTTCCTTTGGACGGCTGTGCCCCATCGTGGCGTACAAAAAATGTATATGTGCGTCTGGAGATCTGGGGTGTGTAACTCAACCCTTTAGACTTTTGTGTAACCACCCATCTGTGGTAAAATACTCAGACAATGAAATTCCAAAGAAACTTTCCGTCACATTTGGATTCAGACAGACTCTTGAAAATAAATAAACAGAAAGGCATAAACCTGCCTTTATCCCTACATAAATATTCCTTCAAAAGTCGTAATTATTCCACTCAAAGGGAAAGAAGATACCCAAGAAGACGTTTAGTGGCTCTGTCACTTTGATCTGTAATGTCCACCCATTCCCACCAGTCAGCATGTGGCTCAGTTTAAAGCCAAACTTCTTGACGCTGATCCTCGGTCACTTTTTTTTTTTTTGAAACTATAAACTAATGGCAACGTGTCATAAATGCTCTCATTGTTGCTATGACATAATGGCATGGCCGGCAAGTGATATGCACTCCAGACTGTGCTGACGCATGGTATAAAATACTTAATGCTTGAATGCACTGATATGGAAAATGGCTCTTTTTGTAGATATTCTGATGTACTCGTCTCCTTGACCATTTGCTTAAATGTGCACCCATATTCACTATCAATCAGTTTAAGGGTTGTTAAAGGATTAGTTCACCCAAAAACGAAAAAAGCTGTAATCATTTATTCATCCTTGTCATTTCAAACCCATTTGACCTTGTTTTTATTTTTCCTTGGAACTCAAAATGAGTTTATGTACTGGTTGCTCTTTGCAATTATTTAGGACCGGAGATTTTAGGCTTCATAAAGGAAAGGACAGCACCATAAAAGTATCAAATGAATTTCTGTCTCAAGTCTCACAATATCTTTGTATGATGAACAGATTGAAAGTTATTTACTCCAGTGATCCGTTAGATTTTGTTGTTGCCATCACAGCAACTTTCTGTTTGTCAGACAAAGCCATCATGTGGCTTCAGGAAAATTGGAATATAGAGCATATGTCATTATTGATCACTTTTATTGATTCTATATGGTGCCTTTTGGGGGGCTTCAATGCTCCGGACTCCATGAACAAAATAAGTGAGTAACGTAGTCTCGTTTTGTGTGATAAAAGTCCAAAAGTTTTTGAACAGCATAACAAAAAGATGACAGTTTTTTATGGTTTGGTGGGGTGGGGTGGGGTGGGGGTACTAATCCATCAAAAGAACACAGAGCTCTTTAACAGCCATAAGTTTCTGTCCTTTTCCAGTGGATTGCTCCTATCATGCACTGTTCAAGAAATCTTGAGCGGAAATCATGATGAATGCCTTCGAGTGGCAACTCAAGTGGTCAAGCAGTGATTCCTGAATGCTTAGTATTTGAAGTCTAGTACGCTACTTGCTGATTGGATTGATCAGCAGCTTGAATGAATCTCTAAAATCACTTAGAACTGAGCCGGTGGTCCTCCAGCTCATCTCCGCTGCAAATTATACAGAAACGGAATATAATTTATTGAAGCAAATCAGAATCTTTTTTTGAGAACCAGCCGTTGAAGAAATTGCCCACCCCTCTAAGACTCCCTGGATGGTTTATTTTCTCTCCCTTTAAGGAGTGAAATGTTACTTATGCATGAAGTGTTCCAAATGAAGGAACCTTAGACAAGTGGAAGCAGATGGCAAGAGATGGGAGATGAGTCCCTTACACATACTCTATCTATTACTGCCTATGCAACTGGAGATATAGCCTACACACTCACACAAACTAACTGAGTCATACTATGTGTTCCGCAAGTGTACATGAAAGAGACATAATACATAACAAATATGCAATATTTAAGCCCTGAGGTCAGGATTGGCAAACTTGCATCCTCATGCGAAATAGTGTTTTTTCAGGGATTTTTTTTTTTTGTGTGCACATTTTTGCAATCATAACAGTTGTTCTGTCTGTTGCAGTGGGAGGAAATCAGTGTGATGGATGAGAGGAACACCCCAATGCGCTCCTACCAGGTGTGTAATGTGATGGAGGCTAATCAGAACAACTGGCTACGCACGCGCCACATCCCACGAGATGGAGCGCAGCGCGTCTACATCGAGATTAAGTTCACCCTGCGTGACTGCAACAGTCTGCCTGGAGTCCCTGGCACGTGCAAAGAAACTTTCAATATGTACTACTACGAGTCCAACAATGCCAACCTGTGGTTCATCAAGGAGAGCCAGTATATAAAGATAGACACTATCGCAGCCGACGAGAGCTTCACGCAGACTGACGTGGGCGATCGTGTCATGAAACTAAACACAGAAGTCAGGGACATCAGTAACTTGAGCAAGAAGGGTTTCTACCTGGCTTTCCAAGATGTGGGAGCCTGCATCGCTTTGGTGTCCTTGAGGGTCTTCTATAAGAAGTGTCCTCTTGCCGTTCTGAACTTGGCCCAGTTTCCCGACACGGTGACAGGGGGGGATTCAGCTTTGGTGGAGGTTAGGGGATCTTGTGTGAATGACTCTGAGGAGTTTGAGGCGCCGAGGATGTACTGCAGTGGAGATGGCGGATGGCTGGTGCCCATTGGACGCTGTGTCTGCAAGCCAGGCTTCGAAGAGAACAAGGACTACTGTCAGCGTGAGTTTTCTATTCAGTTTATTGTACTCCTGTTTTGGGAACTTTAGATACAGTACAGTGGATTTAGATTTAATACAGTTAGATTTAATACAGTGGTATTAAAAAGTATTTAGACACGTCTGTACTCTTAAGTTATACTTTAAAGATGTTGGGATCCACACAATAAATTGGGACACTTTTCCCAGTCATTTCAATGGCAATTACCCTATTTTTTGGTTACCGGACAATGTTAAAGCTTTTTTTTTTCTTTATTGGTCGATATTGGATATTTTTAATTGTGCATGCTCATTCCTCCTATTTTACATTTATATTACCTTTGCCATCATCTAAATCTCAAAATGAACACTAATAATTTAATAACACTGTTAAATGTAATCTTAAATATTGCAAATCTCAAAATGAAAATCCTTTTTTTTTTCATACTGTGGATTTTATTGTGATGCCTAAATTTACTTAGCATCCACTTGCATTTAAATGTATTTATTTATTTATTGTTATTTGTTTTTTATTTAGACAACATAGTACAAATTCTAATATCTGTAGCCATAACATGAATTTAATTTTCAGCTTTGGTCAAAATTGTAATATTAGTGCATCCCTATTATATATATGAAGAGTTCAGATGCAAAAGCCTCTAAGTGCCATTTGAAATTTTCTTGTAGAATGATCATTTTTATCAAGTTTGTATATTTAAGTTCAGTGATTTCACTTAAATGGCAATGATGATTACCTATTAATTGTTATTTGAGTGAAATTACTGAACTTAAATATACAAGCTTGATAAAAATCATCATTAAAGAAGAAAATTTCAAATGGCATTTAGAGGCTTTTGCATCTGAACTCTTCATATATATATATATATATATATATATATATATACAAAGGTCATTTTTAATTGCATGTCTGAAGTGTATGCAATCTTTCTTTTAAATTAAAGATGCTTTCTTACAAAAAGCAACGCCATTCATACTTTTAGTTTGGCTAAATTGTCCAAATACTTTTTAGGGCCACTGTATAACAAAACCAATGTTTTTTATGACTTTATTAGGGGATTTATTGGTTAATATGGCACGTTCTGTATGAAATATCCACAATCTGTTTTTTTAAGAGTTGAAGTTCCTTTGTATGCTTAGTGAGCAGCGTGTATGTGTGTGTTTGTGAGCAAATGCAAATAAGTTTGCAATGAAAGTAGCTGAGGGCTTCTGTGACTCATTCAGATTCACTCCGTGCCTTGTTTCCCTGAGTTGGGGAAGGTAGTTATGCTCCAGGATACAAATTATTGAGACATAGCATTCCAAAGACTATTTGTTCTGTTTACTTGCTTTGCAAATCCATAGGCCTCCAGCAGGCAGTCTTGCTGTTGAGTGTGTGCATTCATTGGATGAGTTTGTAGAAGTTTTCTTCAAAGTAGTCTATGCCAGATGTTTAAAAAAAAAAAACAAAAAAAAAAAACTAATAATTCATATTTCCATTCGTAATTTTCATTAAAACATTATTTATTAAGCAAATTCATTATTCAAATGCTATATAATACATTTTGGTATATTTTTGAACAAAGCATATATATATATATATAATGTATATAGCCTGTCTTTTTTTTTTTGATCCGCTGGGATCAAGCTTGCTTAAATTGCTCATACTTCGTCTTACGTTATTCTTTTGCCGTTTTGATTTCTGCATAGCCTGCAAACACGTCAAAACATTAAAAAGTACATTTCTAGCAACCCACACAGCTTCTCAAAGTTTCAAACCTCCTGTTGATTGAATTTGCAGCTTTTCTGCAAACTCCTACTGATCTGTATTTGCATGTAGCATCATTATGCATTGTACTTTCTTTTATCAACTTTGAGATTTAGACGACTTTGGAAAGAGAGGTGGAACTGAGTAAAGCATGACGGGCACCTGTGAGTGTAATTGTGGGGATGTTGTTCTTTTTCTTTGTGCATTGTGCTGCTTGCTTCCTATCTAATGGTTGCTGAAGGGGTTCATGTTGTTTGCTAATGGATAGGCTAAAGCAACACAGAGGGACCTGCTGAGGAGCTAATGCCTACACCTTCATGATGAAATGTTTACGGATTTCATACCACTCGCAAGCCAACGCGTTCTCATCCCAAAGCGCCATATAAGACGCTTTTGCAAAAGCGTAAATATCCAACGCACATGGCACCCTTTAACGTCTAATGAGACGCAGATATATTTGGGCAGAAGGCGCCCCCTAGTGGTCTAACCCTTACCCTACACCATACCTAAACTTAACCATTAACCGAAGCGTCTCATTTCACGTTAAAGGGTGCCATGTGCGTTGGATATTTACGCTTTTGCAAAAGCGTCTTATATGGCGCTTTGGGATGAGAATGGGCTCCGCAAGCAGATATATATCATCTCCATTTTCCTCTCCATTGATTTTGTGCTTTGCTATGATTTTTTTAGTTAGCTTAGCTTATGCTAATTTAATGGTACCAAGATCCTGATATTTGTGAATTATAGTAGAAAGGCACTACACACCTAGTTTATTTCTGGAAGTGGCATCCTGTTAAAATAACAGAAAACTAGTTATTTTGTGTAAAAAATCCACTAATATATTTTGCAATACCAATCAATTAGGGAAGATTGATCTAGATTTTGACTCATTTCATCCCATGATCTCAAATTTCACAAAATGTGTTTACCACAAAAACACTGTTTTGAAGCTAGAGATATGCCCGAAGCAGAATTCCGAATTCGGAAAGTCACAGAAAATAAATAACGCAATCTACGGAACCCCTTAAGGGACATGGATTGTCTTGTAGTGAAGCCAAGTCAATTCCAGTCACCACCTTCATTTATATAGCACATTTTTACCATACAAATTGTTTCAGTGATAATAGGAAATGAATCCAACAAAGATCACTTTGGCTTTACAGCAGCTCTATAAGAAAGTAATTATGTAGCTATTTGATAGGGCTGTAATGATTTAGGATATAAAATTGAAATCGTGATACTCAGGTCCACGATCCTGTATCGCGATGTGAGAAGGCAGAATCGCGACACACTCCACCTCCCAGAGTTATCCTTCCCGTCCAGATCCAATGCTACCACATCTTTAAAGTATTTGATTGAAAAGTAAGCTTTTGATTAATTAGTTTCCCTTGTAAAAAATCATTAGTTATTAACTTAGGGGCCATTTACACAACACCGTTTTCAAATGAAAATAGAAAACTTGTAATGTGTTCTGACCGTTTATTTCCACGACAACAGTGTTTTGGTTGCCAGAGATGGCAAACTTTGACGTGCGTTTTTGAAAACGACGCTACTGACACTTCAGGGATGGTCCTTCATCTGATATGGATACAGCCCGGATCCGGTTGACAATAGTAAACCTTGGGATAAACTGAGATTAGCGTAGATGCCATTCTTCTTATGAAATAACGAGTATATCAGCTGTTATGGGAAGTGTTCCCGGTCCGGCTGACCTAATTTATCCTAATAATAATTTAACATGATTTGAATTGACAATATGCTATGTGTATGCCAGGTTAAAGAGATGTGTTTTTAGTCTAGATGTAAACTAAGGCCCTGTTTACACGCGAACACTCGCGGGTGAAAATGTAAAAATATTTTATCGGATGTGCCTTTTGTTTACACGGCGACAGCGTTTTTGAGGCTTAAAAACGCAAAAAAGTGAAACCACCCTCCAGAGTGGAAATCTTAAAAATGCTCCACCGCAGGGGCTCCCGTGTAAAGAGTAAAAACGCAAAAGTCTGCTTGACAGTGAAGGTTGTACGCAGGCGCGTGGACGTGGTGTTGTTGTAGTATGCACTCCTAGCTGCCTGGAGTGCATACTACATTGAATTTCACACACTTTTGCGTCACCATTTGCACGCAGATTTCCCACCCAAAATGCTCGTCTAAACGCAGAATAAAAAGTGATAACGCAACGCCACTTTTGCGTTTTCTCTTCAGAATCGTTTCCGTGTAACCATAGCCTGACAGTGCGTGTCTGCTTCCCGAACAAAAGACGAAACTTGGTGAGCACCCCCTTTGCCATCGATATGGGCGAGCTCCGCATGCAGACTTCTTCCTGACAGTCAAAGTGACGTTATATTGCGACAGTGCAGACACGTTTGAAGACAGTGTGTAGGGTGTCATTTGGGACAGGGCCACAGAGTAATCGTGATCATAAATTTGAACATACAATATAATTAATTGCCTATAATTACGAGAGAATCCAAAAGCTTTTAAATATAATTTGTCCTCCCATTTCTTATTTTTTTCCTTAACCATGTACCTTTAGGGGCTCAATAGAATTCGTTATCTCCTTTCTCCTTTCTAAATTCGAAATTTGTCTTATGGCACCCATATTTGAAACCTTCCCCCCTCCTCATGCAGCAGGTCAAGAAATGGTCACTCTTTGCAAAATAATCTTATCAGAATTTGAACGTGCCAGTGTAATGAATTGCTTTCTACCAGTCAATTAACCTTATTCAAGACAAAGCTAGCTGTATCTTTTACGGTTGAAGCATTCATTCAATCATGCGAGAGGTCATTGGAAAAGAGAAATAAGAACTCATTGAGAGGCCTTGGTAACAGAGCGCAAGACTCAATAAATAGAGATTGACCGTGTTGAGCTGTGTCTCAGTGTGGTGGTCCACAGGCCAGCATGACGAAATGGCTAATCTTGGAGGTCTATTGGCAGCACAAGGCCAGAGGTCGCCTAATATATGGCCTTATCCTTCATCTCAGGCAGTGAATTATAGCTGGATGTGTGTGGGTATGTGTAAGCACAAGCTTTTTTTTTTTTCACCATAGTAACTGCATTACACATCAGGTCGGCAGACGGCTTTTCATATTTAGTACATGAGTTATCCCTGTAAGCTCTGATTATATTGAGGATTTGTGAATGATCCTCCATCTGTATTAAGCTGGCAGGCTCTCTAGAAATGGTTTCTGCTTGTAGTACAATAGTTGCCTTGGAGATCACGCAGTTGTTTAATTGACAGGTAGACAACTCACAGATATTG